CTTCAAACCAAAGCTAGTGAAAAGGGATAAAGAAGAACATTTCATACTGCTTAACGGATTCTTAACATCCACAAGACATAACAATCATAAGTGTCTGTGCCTCAATGTGTCATTTATGTATGTAAAAGAAACCCTTCTCAACTACAACAACCAAATAGACCACAGCACAATGATACTGGGTGACTTTAATACACCTACACCTCTCTCATCACTTGATAGATCTTCCAAACAAAAACCAAACAAAGAAACTATAGATCTCAATAATATGATCAATAATTTGAACTTAACAGACATATATAGACTATTCTATCCATAAAAGAGCAAATATACTTTCTTCTCAGCAGCACATGGAACCTTCTCCAAAACAGACCATATGTTATGCTACAAAGCAAGTTTTAACAAATACAAAAAAAAAAAAAAATAGATATACTACCCCTGCATTCTATCAGACCATAAAGGATAAAATTAGAAATCAATGATACAATTAAAAATAAAAGCTACTCCAACAGCTGGGGAGACTAAACAATATGCTATTAAATGAAGCATGGATAACAGAAGACATCAGGGAGGAGATAGGAAAAAATTCTTTGAGGTAAATGACAACTCCCATCCAACTTATCAAAACTTCTGGAACACTATGAAGGCAGTGCTAAGAGGAAAGTTCATTGCATGGAGTTCATTCATTAAAAGAAGAAAATGTCAACAAATAAATGACATGACATACAGCTCAAAGCCCTAGAAAAAGAAGAACAACAAACACCAAAAGTAGTAAAAAACAGGAAATAATTAAAATCAGGGCAAAAAAATCAATGAAATTAAAACTAAAGAAACAATTGAAAAAATTGACAGAACAAAAAGCTTGTTTTTTGAAAAAATAAACAGAATTGAAAAACCCTTAGCCACTCTAAAAAAGATGAGAGATAAAACTCAAATTACGAAAATTTGTGATGAAAAAGGGAATATCATGACAGACACTACTGAAATACAGAAGACAATCAGAAAGTATTTTGAAAATTTATACTCCAGTAAAATAGAAAACTTTGAAGTCACCAACAAATTTCTAAAGACATATGATCAATCCAAGTGAGTCAAGAGGACATATACAATTTAAACAGGTCAATTTCAAGCAAGGAAATAGAAGACACCATCAAAAATCTGCAAACCTAGAAAAGCCCAGGACCAGATGGATTCACAGCTGAGTTCTACAAAGCCTACAAAGAAGAATTAATACCAATACTCCTCAAATTATTCTGTAAAACAGAAAAGGAAAAAACCCTTCCAAACTAATTTTACTAAGCTAATATCATCATGTTACCAAAACCAGGCAGAGACACATCAAGGAAAGAAAATTTCAAACCAATATCTCTGATTAACATTGATGCAAAAATTTTTAATACAATTCTTGGAAATTGCTTACAAAACATATTTAAAAAATAGTGCACCAAAATCAAGTGGGGTTTACCCCAGGGACGCAAGTTTGGTTCAACATATGGAAATCAATAAAAATAATTCATCACACCAATAGACTTTAAGAATCATATGATTATATCAATTGATGCAGAGAAAACATTTGACAAAATACAGAACCCTTTCATGTTCAAAATGCTAGAAAAACTAGGAATAAAAGAAATATACCTTAACATTGTAAAAGCTATGTATGCTAAATGCAAGGACAACATCATTCTAAATGGAGGAAAATTGGAAACATTCCCTCTAAAAGCTGGAAAAAGAGGGAATTCTCTCTTTCACTACTTCTATTCAACATAGTCCTTGAAACTCTAGCCAGAGCACTTAACACAGATGAAAGAAATTAACGGGATATGGATAGAAAAAGAGGAACTCAAACTATTATTATTTGTTGATGATATGATTCTATACTTAGAGAATCCAAAAAAACTCCACCAGAAAACTTCTAAAGTTAATGAATTCAGTAAAGTTGCAGGATATAAAATCAATACCCTTAAGTCAAATGCATTTCTATACATCAGTGATAAATCCCTCTGAAAGAGAAATTAGGAAGAAAAATACTCCATTCACAATAGCCCCCCCCCAAGATAAAATACTTGGAAATCAACAAAAGATGTGAAAGACCTCTATAATGAAAACTACAGAACACTAAAGAAAGAAATTGAAGAAGACCTTAGAAGAAGAAACTATCTATGCTATTGTAAAGGCAAAATTATAATTGTCAAATTGCCATACTACTCAAAGCCCTATACAAATTCAATGCAATTCCAATTAAAATCTCAATGTCATTCCTTATAGAAATAGAAAAGTCAACTATGAAATTTATTTGGAAAAATAAGACACCCAGAATAGCCAAAGCAATCCTTAGCAAGAAGAGTGAAGCAGGAGGCATCACAATATATTATCCTACATATACTACAAAGCTATAGTAACAAAACCAGCATGATATTGGCACCAAAATAGACATGTAGACCAATGGTACAGAATAGAAGACACAGAGACAAACCCACATAAATACAGTTATCTCAAACTAGACAAAGGCACCAAAAACATAGAGAAAAGATAATCTCTTCAAGAAATGGGGCTGGGAGAACTGCAAATTTGTATGCAGCAAAAGGAAAATAAACCCCTGTCTTTCACCATGCACAAAACTCAGCTCAAAGTGGATCAAAGGCCTGGGAATTAGTCCAAAGACCCTGCCCTTTTTTTCCTACTTTGGGAAAAGTAGGTCCAAATCTTCATCATGTCGTACTAGGCCCTGATTTCCTTAACAAGACTCCTAAAGCACAAGAAATAAAATCAACTCTTAATAAATGGGATGGACTCAAACTAAAAAGTTTCTCCTCAGGAAAAGAAGCAATCAATGAAGTGAACAGAGCCTACATTTGGGGAGCAAATTTTTGCCACTCACATGTCAGAGAGAGTACTAATCTCCAGGATATGTAAAGAACTTAAAAACAAACAACCCAGTCAATAAATGGACTAAGGAACTGAATAGACACTTCTCAGAATAGGATATACACTCAATCAACAAATATATGAAACTATGTTCAACATCTCTAGTAATTTAATGCAAACCAAAACTACTCTAAGATGTCATCTCATGCTATTCAGAATGGCAGCTATCAAGAATACAGACAACAATAAATGTTGGCGAGGATGTGGGGGGAAAGGCACACTCATACATTGATGGTGGGACTGCAAATTGGTGCATTCAATCTGGAAAGCAGTATGAAGATTCCTTAGAGAAATTGGAATGAAACCACTACTTTACCCAGCTATCCCACTTCTTGGTCTATACCCAAAGGACTTAAAACCAGCAGCTCAATTCATAATAACTAAACTTGGGAAGCAACCTAGATACCTGTCAATATATGAATGGATAAAAAAAAAACTGTGGTATACACACACAATGGAATATTACTTAGCATTAAAAGAGAATAAAATTACGGCATTTGCAGGTAAATGGATGGAGTTGGAGAATGTCATGCTAAATAAAGCAAGCCAATCCCCCAAAAGCAAAGTGCAAATGTTTTCTCTGCTAAGTGGATGCTGATCCATAATGGGAAAGGGGAGGCATGGAAAAAATGGAGGAACTTTGATTGCACCAAGGGGAGGGAGGGGAGGAAGAGTTCATTGGGGCAGGAAAGATGGTGAATGAGATGGACCTCATTACCCTAGGTACTTGTATGAGTGCACATATGGTGGGATGCTACATTGTGCACATCCATAGAAATGTAAAAATGTGCTGCAATTGTGTATAATGAATCAAACTGCATTTTGCTGCCATAAATACCTAATTAAAATACATTAATTATTTTTTAAAAATCACCAAGAAGGTAGTTCATATTAAGTGAGACCCAATCCAAGAAACTACTGAAACCAGGGGGCATAGCATGAAATAATTTGTCTCATTTTGTGCATTGCTGTCATCAGCTTTCTGAGGAACTTTTACTGAAATGGATTTTGAAAGTAACTAATTCCATGGCAATGTCTTGAGTTTTGAAAGCTGCAGAGTGGAAATGCACATTTGGATTTCAAGGACTTGCAACTTGCTATTCAACAATTACAGTCAGCTATTCATGATAAAAACACAGAAGGCTATTCTCAAAAGAATTGCCAGCCTGATGCACTGCATAAAATTTACTGAAAGGTGTGCTTAGTTTTAAAAGGGGAGGACTGTCTGACTCCCCTTGTGAATGCCAAGTGAAACACTCCAGATGAAGCAGTTTCATGCTTTGTATGCAAGACCTATGGAATTTGTTTTATGAATATACCTGTTACTCAAGTCATGGTAAATATTATGGTTAAGAAGACCTCTTTTACATGGATATCCCATTTAACATTATTGCTGCAAAATTGAAAAACAGTTCAGAAAATTTATCAACTTATTTTAAGTTTCAATTTATTTAAGATTAGCTAAATTCAATTTATTTAAGCTTCAAAATTTAGTAAATAAATCAAAATTGAAGTTTTCGTCTCCATAAGTCTTACTAATGCTAATAAAAGCATGAAGTTATTTAAGACAGAATGGAGAAAGGCAGAGGAGAGTGTCAGTCAATGGTCTCTGCACAGTAACATTTTGAACAGTTATTAAGAAATCAGATGACTAAAGCAAAATGTCAATAGAGGTGAAACTAAGAGGAAAAAGAAAGGAGAGTTATGGGACTCAACCCTCTAAGGAAGAAATTTTAAGACATGGGATGAGTAAAATTAAAAAGGACAGTGACAAGGTTTTAAAAAAAACCTTAATTGTGTGGACCAGAGGGACATCATTTGGTATTCCACCATTCAAAAGACTCAAATCCACTTACCTCAGTTTGGAGAAATTTACTAAACTAGCAGGTAAAAATTTCAAAGAGAAATGTTAGACTGCAATCATCTAGATAAATAGATTAACTATAATAAAATTGACAAAAGGCCAGGTTCCCTGGACCTTACCCTTCTCTAGGGAACCAAAGCCTTTTGAACATGATTGGGTAAAATGGTTCTGGGTGGGTGTAGAATTAAAGTTTGTGGGACATTTTTACAGAGAAGCCTCATGAAATGTGGTACCAAAACATCAATGAAGTCTTACCAGGCACTATAACTGTTAAGAGTAAAGGTAAGGGTTGATAAAGATTACAGGGAAATTTTGGATAATAATTGGCATGTTCAACAAGGCTTTATGTAAACAAGTTTCGTGTCCTTTACCTGAATTTTTGATGGGAATGAATATTATGTCTGGCTTGGAAATACTTACTGAACTTGGTATTATAATGCAAAAATCTGCTGAGGAATTTGCAATGGAGGTGACAGTGAGAAATGTAAAGTCAATGAAATTAAGGTTAAATTTCAGAAGAGAATTCTTGTGCTTGAATACATTTCACTTGAAGTGGTTGCATCTCTTTTGTCTGATTATATTATGAGATGGACTTTCATGTATTGCTGGATAATATTTTTCATATCTAGTATTGCAAAGCAGAGATGTGTTAATCTGCCCTAATAATTGGACATGCTAAATGATACTCAACATGATTACCTGAATCCACATAATGTAGAACAGAAGCTGGTGTGTTAGTTGGGACAAATTCTATGTATAATAGTCACACACGGAAACTGTAAGCTATGAGCACCTCTCAGCAATGACTAAGTGGTTCTTAGGAGTAGAGAATTTTCATCTGAGGGACATTTTCTACCATGCTATTGTATATTAATTGAAATTACTCCTACAACTATCGGACATAAAATAATCTTGAATCCTCAAATCCTCCTGATGTTAGGTGATCAGAGAAACATTCTAATGGGGTGACAAAGCACATATTTCCATAATGATGTACTTTGTTTCCAGAATGGCCCCCTAAATTGTATGTGTTGAAAGCTAGGCACCCCATGAAGCAGAGTTCAGAGGTGGGGTCTTTGGAAGGTGATTGTATTATACATGTTCTCACATGGGGATTGGATTAACCACTTAATTCATAGCTTAATTGTCTATTTGGAATCTTTAGGAGGTGAGACCTAGTTGGAAGACCCAGGCAAGCCTTTCAATGGCATATTCTGTGCCCTGTTTTTTTGTTTGTTTGTTTGTTTGTTTGTTTGTTTTCTATCTCTTCCCTTCCTGGCCACCATGTGAACAACTTTCCTCTACCAAATGATTCCTGCCTTGGTTTTCTGTCCTACGACAGGTCCAGAAACAATAGAAACATGTGACCAGAAACTGAAATCTTTGAAATTGTGAAAATGAATATTTTCTTCTGTTGGTTTTCTCAGGTGTTATCTCAAAGCAGTGGAAAACTTATTAACTCACATAATAAAATAGAAATGTTTTATATAGACTCTTGATACTGGGAAAATGCTAGGAGATATTCACAATCAAGGAGGCTCTTTTTCCCCTAGGACTAAATTTGGAACTACATAGGGAGCTGCCAGTTTCTTTCATCATTTGGACAGTGTCTTATAAACAGATCTTAACTGATCAATAGAGCTGTTTGGTTTGTAGATGGCAGTTCTAAGGTCAAGGAAAAGGATCCTGTTTCAAAGACCACTTCTGATTAAAATTGGTAAAAACCAATCATTTTGGTAGGTTGAATTACATTCTTGAAGTGATGGTAAAATTGAATTGTGATTAAAATCGCCTGTGTTTGAGATTTTATTGACTCGTGGCCTGTGCCACAGGGTCAAGTAGAAGGACAATGGAACATTTTTCTAATAAAAGGATGTTTATATGGGGAACAGACTATGGAAATCTCTATTGGAATCTGAGATGTTCATTAAAGTAGGAGCAGTTGATTTCTATTAGAATCCACTAAGGATTGGAACCACTAAGTGGATCCCTTGGTGCACTACTTTGAGGTAGCCATCTGGCAACATGACATGGGTGGAACTTGGGAAGGGGGTGAGTATAGCAATGTAGAAATAAGTTGAATCAAGATATATTCCTCTTATACCCTAAAAAGCATAAAAGACCAGTAAGAACTGTTTAGTTTGTTAATAAAAGAGACAGAGATTACAAATGGCTTTGTGGGTAGATCTCCTGGGAAAGGGCTCTGAAATTAGCTAGCAAGATTTATGTCAGTAACTCCAGGGGGGCTAAAAATGGGGATGATCAGAAACAGACACTGACTCTGGCCTGTGCATTTATATCCAGGATAAGGTGCAAAGGCTCAGATAGAACCAGAATATAAAGTATTGCACCAATTTGGAAGGTTGGTCACCTTCTATTCAGACCAAGAAACACACTTTAGCCCATAATGTCCAACAGTGAACTACAGTTTGACAGAATTATAAAGGGCAATTGAAACATTGATTATATATGTAGGAGTGGAAGGAAATCTCAACCCCCTAAGGTATAAACTTTGAGGCTACTAAAACAAACTAAGAAAAGACAGATTAATGTAAAAAGGGGGTGCACATTGATTAGCATGTCAATGCAGGAGAATCACACAAATCTAGAAAAGGTAATATGAGTTTACTGGATGATAACACTTTATAGTTTTCTATGAAAGCCATAGAAGTGCCAGATGACTGAGACTTGAATAACCTTTTTATAGGAGACAAGGAAGTGGGGACTCAAGGCATTTTTAAATGGAGAATAAATGATTTTTATAGGAGATAAATGGGCTTGAAGAATAATCAAAGTTCACCTAAGAAAAAATTGACCGGGTCTCTGGGTGATGTGTCCACACTGATCCTTCCTCTTTTGAGTTAATCTTCTTTAGTTAATGAAATTTGTGGGGAGGGAGCATTCAAAACTATTGTATTCCTTCTTGAAGGACTTCCTTCATCAGATGAGGGAATTTCAGAGAATGATTCCTTTTATCTTGAGGGGGGCGGGGAAAGGAAGGGAGAAATGAGAAGGTATCATTTTTCTGAACCCCATATCTAAAATGTGGTGGGAGATATAGGCAGAAGGGCTGGCTCACATTCCTTCATGAATGTGTACTCACACCCAACATGGCAACCAGGGGGTGATGTGGGAGTATCTTCTCTGCATAGATTATCCTGTTTTGATTTAGGAAAGAGGGGTACACGGGTATGCCTGCGTTTCTTCCAAGGGTGGAGCATACTGGTATGATGACCATGCTTTTCTTTCTTCTTAGCAAATGTTTGAACTGTAAGAAGGAGTTATGGAAAACTTTTATTTATGCTCAATAAGCCAGAAATACTAGTGATAACTGGGACTTGCAAATGTCAATTGAAACGGGGGCAGTCTTAAGGGACTGAATCCTCAATCAGAGAGTCTGAGCTAATTCTGAGATGAATTTTTTAACACCCAGGTAGAGTCTAGAAAATTGGAGAATTATCTGTGGGTATTGAAATTTATCCCAGAAAAGGTAATATGAGTTTACTGGATGATAACATTTTCCAGTTGGAAAGAAACCTGGCCACTGGCTAACTCCAATTTTTGCTTACTGTAGATGAGAAAAACATGATAGAAATTGGTGTATCTAGGTTCTATCTATTAGTGCATACAACTCATACAACCAGTAGAAAGAACAATTTACTCCTCATACAGGCATCTTTTTATTTTTAATATTTTCTATACATTAATTACTTGTAAAAAGCGGTCACATCCTCAAATTATATTACATGTAATGAAGGACTCAAGTAAGTCAAGACCATAAACTTTTAGTATATTAATAAAGAAGACATTCTAACATCCTTAGTCTGGCAAAATAATCCATTCTTCCCACATCTGCCACATTTTAATAATGACGAGTCCAATAACAAAACTTAATCCATATCTTCAAAAACATGGAGACCTAGTGCCACGATTATATTGCTTTAATTCATGGTTTTACTCTCATTTTCTCTCCCTGTGATTTTTATTAACTCAGTCTTTCTCAGTGTTTGTTTGTGAATGTTTATTGAGAACTTAAATTCAGGGTTATTTGGGCTGTATACTTATTACCTTATTTAGTCTTAAGCCTTAACTTTAATACTGTGTGTTTTTATTGAGTCAATAATTTGTCCAGTTTCACAAGTGCTTTAGACATAAAAATCATAAAACTGTACCTTTTCCATGCTAAACTAATAGTTACTAACATAACCAGAACTGTACAGTTCCAAAGGGCTTTCTTACACTGTATTTACCTAAGGGGCTGAACACTCATCCCCTAAGCATACAACATAGTCTTTACTGTCCTGAAACCAGAGTATTGTTTTCTTTTAAGGAGAACTCTAATAGGCACTAAATGTCAAAAATCACTTTAAAATCCTTAAATATTCATCTTCAAATAAAGTAACCAAGAAAGAACAATATTAAGACTTTCTTTTATCTCATAGTAAAATAACTGATGACTCGACTACACTCAACTTTTCTCCCAGGAAATTTTATTTGGAATTTCTAAGATATCTTCAGTTTACAGACTCTTAAAAGAGAAACTTAAATTTAAGTGAGTTACTTTGTATTTAAAAGCCTATTTTCCTCTCCTCAATTAAAATAATATGTGATTGCAAGACAGTGGGTACCATGGCTACATACATATTGATTTGCTTTCGCTCTTCTGACGGCATTTCAATTTTAAAACGTGTTTTTTTTTTTCTAATGTGCTTTGCTTTTAGCCATTCCAATTGCATTATTTTCTGGTATGAGAAAACTAGAACACAGTATCGGCAATCACGCATTCTAAAAGGATGCAATTGATTCTTAGGATAAAAGAGCCATTACCCACCACATTTTAGCATAAGCAGGTATCATGATTCACATTTCTAAGGACAGATGAAACTCACTGAAGCACAAATTTCTATGTGTATCTCAATGCTGTGGTGATGGTTTCCTATAAACATGCTTAGTAAATGAAATGCAAACAAATACAGCATTTAGGACTGCCACTACAGAAGCAGATGTGGAAGATAGCCAACTAAAGTTTTTTTTTTTGTTGTTGTTGTTTTTTTAACTTGGCTTCAGTTAACCAATTTAACATTCTTGGAGAGGCATCATATATACGGTGAGCTAGTATTTAAACAGGGAGAGTGGCTTAACATTCAGATCCTGCAATCTCTCTGACAGTCTTTATGGAACAATTTCTGAGGAGTTGATGGCAATTTTAATTATGAACAAGTAGCCATTAGCCTGGATCCTGTGAACTGTTCAACTGATAACATGAAACAGAAGTTTTCTCTGCAGGTGGGTTAACAACTGCTGCCAAATACCTCTCTATCTTTACATCTTAGAGTAAGCCTATAGCAGATAGGTTGAATAATGTCCTCTGTCAAGAATCCCCAAGTTGAAAAGTTCTATTTCTTGTGAAAAAAATAAAAATAAAGGTGATTGATGCTAAAGGCTAGGCTCCTTGTGTCTTCAAAAGACAAAGTGATCCTTTGAGACAATACTGTTTCATTTTATAAGATATATTTAAGCTATCTCCCATTTTATTTTTCTGAAGTTGAAATCATAGGAAAGATTAGCCCTCTAAATTTAATTGCCTATAATTTTGCTATCAAGACAGCCCATCAAAGAGCTCTACAAACAGATTGTGATTGAAAATGAGAGACAAGTGTCTAGCTATCTGCAAAACTAATTTGAGCACTAAATTAGAATCACCCTGTTATGCTTTGCCTGGATCTTCTTCATTTGCATCTTGTGTACATACCAACCCCCAAATGTATATCTTCCTTTCACCCAAGTCTAACAGTATGCTAAATGATGGCAGAATGCATCTCCAGGGCTGAGCTTGCAATCAGATTGATTTTTGAGAATCAAATTCCAACCCTAGGAAATGAACAAATTTCAGTGATATTGTTGACACAAAGATCTATATAAATATATTTGAGGGAAAGACAAGTGGGAATAAAAAGGTAACTTCCAATATTAACATGTAGTTATTTAAGGGCATCTTTGTGACTTTTTAGAAGAGTTCCATCACAGCAGTGACTGATTCTCTAATTTCTCTCAACCATAATTGTTTTTAAACCATCTTAGTATAACTACTTGCTCCAATTTGTTTTAAAAAGCATTGCTCTTCCCATTTCAATAAATATGACTTCAAATAAAACTTTATCACAGACAGGATGGGAAAATGGCATGATATGGGGTAATTTCCTGTGATCCATGAGCCTCTTCTCATGAAATTTATGTCAGCGTTGGCCTAGGTTGGACTCAGAGAACCTCACTATTACTTGTTATGGTTTTGCCAATGTTGTTATTGTCATATTTAGTTTTTACTATAATAAATGATCAGGTGCAAAATGGAGGTGAGAATTTTCAGGTATAGAAACATAGAGGGCTTATGGTTTTTGAGGTTTTGCAACTTAAGTGATCTATGAGTATGTGTCAAGTTGAGTAACTCTTAACTGAATTCACAAACTCTAATTCAAGTCTTTGCCTTACAGAGATCTGTTTTTTTTTCCTTCTCAATACTTCACATTGGGATATTACTAAATCAAAGAAAATGTTTTGCTGCAAAGAAAGTAACTTTCCTACTTACTCAAATTTTATTTTCACAAGAAAGTAATATAAATATGAGAAAATATTAGATGATTCATGGGAACCTACCTAGAAGTTTCCTTACTACATAGCAGTAAACACTTGAAAAGAAAAAAATATATATTTCTCTCTCTCTCTCTCCCTCTCTCTCTCTCTCTCTCTCTCTCTCTCTCTCTCTATATATATATATATATATATATATATATATATACACATATATATACACACATACACATATATACATATATATGTGTTTGTGTTTGTGTGTACACACACACAAACACATATATATGAATCTTTATGTATAATTATACATATTTAATAAATTTATACATATGCATATATTATTTTAGGAGAATATTTAAAAACAACCAAATTTAAAGTGTGAAGGGAGTTCAGAGGCCATGTTAGCAGGAGATTGTTATATACAGGTGAGCAGTGCCAGTTATGCCCATGCGTCTGCTTATACTTATCCCCAACTAGGCAAAATGCACTTGTCATAGTTTGGGTTTTCTGAGATGCAAATTAGGAGATAATATTAGCATGCATTTCTTTTTCAGCTTTTATTGACAAATAAAAATGTATATATTTACATATATATATATATATATATATATTTAGCATATATAATGTGATATGTGTATACATATATAAAATGGTAAAACAATTCCTACGGTGTCACAAACTAATTAGCAAATCCATCACGTCACACAGTTTCTTTTTTTAAAAATGTGATAACAATACACAAATTCTGCTCTTTTAGCAAATTTTAGGTACACCTAATATATATTTGTTGTGGTTGTGTTTGTTACTATACTTGGAATTGAACACAGTGCTTACCACTGAACTACATGCCCATTACTTTTTATTTTTTATTTGAGACAGGGTCTCTCATTAAGTTGTCCAGGCTGGCCTCAAACATGCGATACCTGTGCCTCAACCTCTGGAGTCACTGGGGTTACTGGTGTGCGCTGCTGTCCTCAGCTCTTCACAGTAAATGATCAACTATGTACACTGTGCTGTACATTAGGTCCTCAAATAACCACAAATTTCTAACCTGTGAAAAACTTCTCATTTCCCTCACCCTCTAACCCTCCTAGTAACCACCCTTCTATATTCATTTTCTGAGTTTGGCTTTTTAAAATTCTATGTAGGGCTCTTATTAGGGACTGCTTTGGGTTCTAGACCCTTTGGAAAGTAGGAGAAAAGGTAAGCAGTTTGGACAAAGAGAAAAATTTGTTTGTGATTCAGTCCCAACAACTTGTCAACCTTCTCCACAGGGAGCTCTTTAGTTGGGCTGGATTCCCAGAGTTGGCTTACATTAGGGTGAACAAGGATCTGGCTCCAGTACTCCTCTGTTGATCAGGTATTGAGTGAGAGTTTCGCCTCACAGGAATGAACTGAGGCGAGGTGGGCTCTTTGTTTTTGATTAGAGCTCTCCCAAGTAGGGCTGCCAGCTGAGGGTCATCTTGTTGAACTGCTCACAGTGAGGAGAGAAAGTCCTACTTCCCTTAATGGACTACTGGAGAGGTAATGACTCACTGCATTTACCAAGGACTTCCTCATGTTTTGTATAATGTGATTTCCCATAAATATCCTCAGACTCAACTCATGTAAAATACCATCCTGTCTCTGCACACTTCCTTGACTTCTCAGGTAGGATTGACCATCCCCCTTTTATTTAACTGCAGAATCCTTTAAAGACATAATTATAAATATTCAAAGTTCTTATTACAATATTTTTTCTGCATATTGTTATTTTCTACAATACTCTGAGCTATTTGGAGACAGGACATATCCCTCATCCTTGTGTTTTTATCACCTAGCATAGGACCAAGAACAGAGTTTGTGCTCAATGAAAGGACAAATGAATAGATAAATTACAACAAAGAACTGATTCTAATCCTCACTGAAAAACAGTTAAGGAGGAACATTAAAAGAATACTAGAGATAAAAAGGAGACAGGTTTGCCCTTTGAGAATGATGTGCACTGAAGAAAATGAGCCAGACATGCAAGTTGATTTCTAGTGGCTGTGTGTGTCCTATGAAGGAGGAGAATTCATTTGATCACACCGAGTAAAGAGTTTATCGGCATCTCCAGTGCAGTTAGGAATGTGGGGGAATAAAAATTTTTAATTGCATAACACTTTCTATCTTCTAATAAGAGAGATAAAGCAAGGGGAAAATAAAATAAAAAGACTACGGGCTGGGATTGTGGCTCAGTGGTAGAACGTTCACTTAGCATGGGCAGGACCCGAGTTCGATTCTCAGCACCACATAAAAATAAAGGCATTGTGCTGTATCCATCTACAAAAAAGATTCTCTCTCTCTCTCCTTTAAAAAAAAAAAAGACTATGTGTTATACAACTCATAAAAATAAAAGCAAATTTTTCTTGTTGGAAGGGATTCACAGAATAAGAAAATATAATTAACTGGAAAGGTAAGCAAAATTTCAGGAAGGTAGTAACTTTTGAACTTAACCTTCATATTTTTATAACTAAATGTGATCAGTTTGGTGATGTATACTAGGTCATTTTCTCTTAGAAGCAAAAAGAATGAATTAAATATGGGAGACAATTAATGGGGAAAATAAAAATAAAGGATGAAAGGAAAGGTAGTGGAAATAGGAAGAACTTTAGAAATTTACACAGGGAAAAAAAAACATGATGTAGATCTGATACCTATGGTATGACAGAGGGTAGTAGGAAAATTGAATAGAAAGTCTCATATTGCAGTGAAATTTTGACAGAATCTTAGACAGGCAGATGGGGAAGCCTTGGAGCAAAAATCACTCATTACAGGATAGCCACAATCAGTCATTTGCTGGGAGCATCCCAGGAACAATATGGCCTTGGTACCAATGCTGTGGTGAATTCCAAATAGATGGCAGCTGGAAGGTTTCAGAATTCCTTGATTCAAGTTCTTTCTCTCTCTTTTTTTAATTTTTTTTGTTGTTGTAGATGGACACAATATATTTTATTTATTTTTATGTGGTGCTGAGGATCGAACCTAGTGCCTCACATGTGCAAGGTAGGCGCTCTACCTCTGAGCTACAGCCCCAGCCCTCAAGTTCTCTCTTAAAGGAAGATCTGAGCAGTGCATACCATAAATGTCATAGGCAGAAAAGAAAACATTTCAGGAGAAGGAACCACACAGCTTAAGTCATAGGATACACAACTGAAATCTTTGGTTGCAAATGTTAACAGAATCTATGAGCAAACACTAGTGGCTAAGGAGTAAAGGCAGGCAACTATCTAAGCCCCACCATTATTTTAATTATTTGTTTTGTTTATAATTTGTCTACTAGTTGATATGATTACTCATTTTTTCCTTCCTTCCTCCCTCCCTTCCTTCCTTCCTTCCTCTCGTCTTGCATCAAAGAAAATGCCTATGAGCCCAACAGCAATCATAACCTTCTAACTATAGTTGTTTAAAGAAAAAATATTTTTTTTCTTGCCAATGACCTTCAATAGCAGTGTCTCATCCATTTCCTATTCCCATAACTTATGTGCTGTGCCTCTCTAACAAAGAATGTGAGCCTCTTGCCCAGCTTCATTGCATATTCTTTTCCAACACAAAATACTTTCAGGGCTGAAAATGATTAATTCTGATATAATTCACATATGGATATGTTGGTAAAATATTTGTTGCTGCATCTGTGCTGCAGCGTTTATCTACCTCCTATAGGAAATCAGGTTTTGACAGGTGTTTTATGTGTCCAATTGTGATACCTGCTTTCCCCGAAAGAAGTTAAGAAGCACATAGCAGAATGTTTTGAATACCCTTTATAACAATTATCAGCAATAATTTGTTTGTTTGTGTGAGTTAAAAGTGGCCCTGGTGACTGGGACAGCCTGACCAAGAGAACATACACTGACCCTTGATTTTGTTATATTTTTTTCCAGCTTCCTCTGGAAATTAGCGCTGTGCTCTCAAAGCTGTGAAAACTCCCTTCAAAAGTGCTGATTACTAGTTGTATTATAGGTTGAGAGGCTGCTCCAATAAAGACCCCCTACACTTCAAAAGCTGACTTCTGGACTTGGTGTTCTTGATTTCTGTCAGTAGTGGAATACACTTTGAGAGGACAGATGTACATTCCTTTAACATTCTTGATGAATCAGAGAAATCGATACCCTGCATCTCCAAAGCAAAACAAACAAACAAACAAAAAAACCCAGCAGGAGTCCTGAGCAAAGACAGTGATTTCCTGTGCTGTGTCCCTTGGTACCAATAATGGCCCAGGGAACAGGAGACAGGAAAAGTTGGGAAAAAGACACAACTTCAGCCAAAGGAAGGGTAAACACTGGAGGAGACAGTTCCTTAGGGCAGAGTGGGAGCTGTGACTACTGGAATTCAAGTCTACGTCTTCAACACATCTACAGGGTTTTCCTGATTGGGAAGTAGGGCACAAATGGACTCGGGGTAACTGGGAGATGATGAAGAAGAAAGGGTGTATGAAAGGGCTACAGAATTTTGCTGCATAAAACATTCTACCCACACTTGCATCTTAGAAATACAACACAATTTATCTGTTAAAAAAATGTTTGGGTGGGACAGGAAGTGAAAGAAGATGGCATGCTGAACAGGTTTTATGTGTTGTGTATTTTTAGTATATATATCACAGAGGTTGGTCTTGATGTATTTTCTTTAAAATTTTGCTTTTAGTTATGCTTATTTGTTGTTCTTTATCATGTGAAAGATTAATTCCAGAACCATTTCTGAAATTATACTTGATTCAGAAAATGGTAAGTATTTAAATCTCAGTAGATGCATGTACATTAGAGATTGAGAATTCTGCTTTTTTTTTTTTTTTTCTAGGAACACTTTTCATTGTCTAAGAGGAAACAGAGCTCTCATCTGCTGGGATTTGAACTAAAGACCTTGAGATCCCAAGGTGAATGCTCCTTCACAGGACCTCAAAACAGTCTGCTTGGAATAAATGAATCTCTGATTAATCCAATTTATGTTAAAAACAGTACAGATAGGGCCTGCATTTCCCGGAGAAGGATGAATCAGCTTTCATGGCCTATTGCAAATGCTACATTCTTTGGGCCTTCAAACTGAAGAGAAGACCTTTGTTCACTGAGGGGAAAAGTTCTGCTAATGGTGTGGCATGTTACAGGATTTAGGCCAAAGAAAACTGCCAATGATCCTGACTTTTTAAAGAAAACTTCTGATTTTGTTGCCATGCTTTACCCTGTTTTCTCCTGACCTATAAAAATAATTTTGACAGAACAAAGAACCAAAACCAAATAGATTAAAGTTTTAGTCATCTTTCTATCTTTTTATTTTTCTTAAAATGTTTATATTTTACTCTATGTTTTACTGTCTGTTCTCACACCCGCTCCTCTGTCGGGAGCTGCCACATAGGAGCTGAGCACCCCCAGGCTTTGAGGGAGTGGAAATGTGGAGACTGGCTTCCTCTGCTCAAGGAACCAGGTGGATCCCTATCTCCGCTTGGCAGGGGGATGAAGCTCTGGGAGTGAGTGTCACCCAATGAGACTGGGTTACACCCCCCTGAAACCCAATCCCTTGCCTCATTTGGGTGGAACTTTCTCTAGTGCCTTCCCCTCAATAAATAGGGAATGCTTTCTCTTTTGTCTGCCTTTATTGCTTCCTTTGTGGAAGATGGGGCTGAGGAGCCGTCACTGAACCCCAAGAAAAAGGTATTTTCTCTGTCTCTGTGTGATTACCCAATCCACCTGTAGTGACCCTGACTGATTTAGTGCATATCCTCCGAGCACCTCTGCATTTAGAAGTATCACATTCACTCCAGAAAACAAGATCTTATGTCACAAAACATTCAACTCTGGTCTCCTTTTGAAGATGCAGTCCTTCTTATTGATCATGTACTTATTATTCCATGAATGCAGCTTCTCTCTTTAACTCACCTCTTTGTTCTCCACCATCACCCTCACTGCCATGACCAGCACCTCCTACAATTTCTCTGTGATCATTTTCTCCTTTATATATTACTTCCTTTATACAACTTTTAAACTTGTCCGTAGAAATGAACCCTTGAGGCTCTCACACCAAACTGGCAAATCAAGATTCATTTTTTTCATTGACAAGCATATGTATATATACATATACATATGTATGTGTGTATATATATATATATATATATATATATATATATATATATATATAAAACAAGGCTATATAACCTTGTTTTATACACACACACACACACACACACACACACACACACATATATATATATATATATATATCCTTGTTTTTGTATCTTTTAAAATACTAACTTTATATACATTTTATATGAAGACAGCTTTAGAGTTAAATGAAGAACATTAATATGGTCTTCACTAGTAAAAGTTTTCCAACCTCAACATTAACCATTAGATATTAAGGAATGTGATGTATGATCCTCATGAAGCAGTGGTCCCATTTAATACAGAAACCATTGGAGAAAACACCTTTATAAGACTCAGCTTTATAAGATAGGGACAAAATGCTGAAAAGATTCTGATGAAGAAGTCAGATCCAGCTGGAGAGATGCGGAGGTCAGTTACAACTGGGTAACTGCATTTTGGTTTGCTCATTGAAGAACAGTTGAGTTCAATTGTAGGGGGTTGGATAGAATTTGGTCAGCTCCAATTGGCTTGGAGTTGCCCACAGGAACAATATGCTCATTGAAAAATGGGCACCAGAACAAAGAGAAAAGCATAGTCGTGAGAAATGTTAACCCCAATCCCATTCCCAATGCCCAGACTAACAAATAAATCCAGATTCTTAGAATCTACAAATGCCTTTCTGAAGTCGCAAGTAGTTTTTTTTTCTTAATTTAGGCCTGAAATGGATTTAAACGGCATGGTCTTGGAAATTGATAATTTCCTTCTTTCTTTCAGGACTCTCTCTCTTCTTTGTTCCTTTATGACATGTTTTATAATTTCATTAATCATTCAGAACTTGGATAAATATTATTGTGTAATCCTATTCATTTGACCTGTACCTATTTGTTACCCAATGTTTCTGATATATGTTAATAGAAAAATAACTCAAGAAATATTTGAGAAAGAAAATAAGTTTTAGTTCTTTAAACAACTGTATTAACAACTATATTATTGTAAAGTAATGACGGTATACTTCTATTTAATAAATCACATACATTTGCTATTTAATCTCCAATTATCTCAGGCAATAAATAACAGAAAAAAATTCTTAATAAATTCCAAAATAAAATCTTTTATAATTGATAAATCTTTTATCTGTTTTGCAAAAAATCTGGAAGAATTCAGGAAGTTTGTTGCATCTTTTCCTTTTCTTTATTGAAGTATATTGCTTGTATTTTTGGCCCATTGAGAAAGATCAACTAATAAGAAAATAAGGAAAAGTCAGCAATGAAAAGGGAGGACAAATAATCCAAGTTATTTCTCAATAAAGCTGGTATAAAAATTCCAGTTTACAATATTATTTATAAAATGTTTTAGAGAGATAAAATTATCTTTGCATAAGAAAATTATGTGCACTTTTTAGAAATGGTCAATGTTGCCTTAATTTTCTGACTAGATCTTGACATTTGAAGAAAAAATACTTAGATCTTTCTTCTCACATGAATATGTGAAGATGGTACTCTTGCATACTGGAAAACAATGTTAATCCAGCAGAGACTGAATCAACTCTGTCATGTGTAACAGTTTGGCTATTGGCTATGGCATCATCTAAATGAAATGGAAGCATTAATATCATTTCCTGTCTGCTGTGTGAACAGCTTCCTTTCTCCACGAGTACTGATATTAGCAGCAGAACTATGATCTTATTAGTTGCAAATTATTAAATTCCTGCATCTGTTATTTATTGCCTGAGATAATTGGATATTAAAGAGCTATTTCCTATGATGGCTGGCAGAATTATGAGTTAATATATCAGCAGGATAGTAGGTGAGCTAAAAATTGATCTATTCTTTACCTAGCCCATCATCCCCTGCAACTATAGGGTCTTACACATATAATCTATGAGAAAAATCATGATATAACTAAGGGGTAAGCAAATTTAAAAATCAGGAGAGGAATGTCACTGTATCCATCAAAAATAATACATTATAAGAGACAAAGAAGGGTAGTGGAAATGATCCAGATTAATAGAGGCAATCTATAAAATTATATCTAAGTGTAATAGCTATCACTAGACTAAATCTGGTACCAGAGGGAAATAAAAATCCCCTAAATATTATCACTACTTCAATGGACAGGACTGAAAAACATGATTGATTAGCTTAAAATGTTGAATCAACATTTAATATGTTAGTATGATCACTGTACTGTGGGTTTTCATTGTTTTTAATTTTTTGTTTCTGGGGATTTAAGACAGGGTCTGTGCATAAAAGCACATCCTCCACCACTAAACTAGGAACCTAGTCCCAGAATTGTATTTTGAAATTATAAATGTTTTAGGTGATACATATTTAATATATGCTCTGTAACATTATCTTATAGTATATTTTTATAATTTTTGAAGGATTCTACTCTTCTTAAGTGACCAAACCACAACATAGCTCTCCAACTGTAATACCATAAAATAACAATATGATTTATTATTTATTCTATAATATTACAAAAATGAAAGAGTATATATCATGTATTATATGTTGTATGAAGAAAAGTTGTGTGTGTGTGTGTGTATTTCTGTGTGTTTTGGTCTGAGAGTGACAGGAGAAAGAGACAACTGTAAACAGGTGAGACAAGCAAATGACAAAGAAAACCAAAGGGGTAAAGAAAATAATAATGGGGAATACGGGTAAACTTTTTAAAAAATTATCCTTATTATCTCAATTATTTTGTAAGTCTAAAATTATTTTCAAATAAATAAATAATTAAAATAAATGCCTAAAATTGATTTTTAATTATTTTTTATCACTTCTATTGCTGTTGTTGTTATTATTTGGTACCAGGGATTGAAATCAGGGGCACTCAACTACTGAGGCACATCCCCAGGCCTATTTTGTATTTTATTTAGAGACAGGGTCTCACTGAGTTGCTTAACGCCTCACTGTTGCTGAGGCTGGCTTTGAACTCTCCATTCTCCTGTCTCCCAGCCTTCCATGCTATTGGGATTACAGGTCTCTGCCAACTTGCCTAGCCCTAAAATTAATTTATAAGGGACATGCACTAAAAGAAACAATGAAAGAATTATTTTAACAGAAGAAAATTATTCAAGATGAAAGTAAAAACAAAACTTTTCCCACATGAAACCACATAAATACAGTTAAGAATGAAGAGCCCCACAAGGTATAAATGTGTTGGTAAAATAAATGATTATTAACTGTCTCAAACAAAATAATATTGTCTAAATTATTTCAAATTATATGTAGAAATAAAACATAAGAATGGTAACACAAAAGATGAAAAGAGGTAAGGATAGTTAAACTTTTTGAGGATCTTTTTACTTTGATACTGTTAAGTGTTAAAGGTCATTGTTACATAGACTCTATTATGTCAAAATTGAATATTTCAATCTATGATTACCATTAATAGAACAAAATGTTAGTTGAAAATGTTTTAACTAACACGCTAACATGAGCAGTAAATAGAATAATAAAACTACTAACTTAATTTGAAATGACAAAATTAAATAAAACAAGTTATATCAAATATAAAAAAATAGGTGATAGATGCAAATCTCTAATATCAGAAATTACAAATATATATAAGGTTTTTCTTTGGGCTATTGATAGGGTGGATG